CTCTCGCTTCACTCGCCGGCAGGCGCAGCAAATCTACTTTGGGCCCAACTCGAGAAAAAGTAAAGTCTCGCAACCGAGTCTCCGGCAGCAGCAGGTGCCTGGGCGCAGCACCAAGTTCGCGCTGCAGGGGATGGAGTGGCAGGCACCTGCCGTTCCAGCGACGGCACCAACTTGTCATGTTTATGGAGGGGCACGGCCCGGAACGGACGCATCGGAGCCACGGGCGACTGCACTGACTGGCTATCAGTATAAACAGCAGGGGCCGTGGAGTAGAGACCCTGTCTCTACCGTGGAGGACAGGCGGCAAGAGCAGTACCTGGGATTCCCTCCAGGCCCACCCTGGAAAAATGGTCCTTTTTCCAGGAGTCGTCTGGGAATCTCAAGGACTGCTTTTGCCGTGACAGTGGCATACGCAGGAATTTTGAAAGGCCAAGACAAGGCTACTTTCGGGCTGCAACCCGCCATTGCCTACCTGTCTCGTGCCACTAGGAAGGGTCTTTCTACCTTATACACTATTTTAGGCCTAGCAAAAAAGTAGCTTGTTATAACAAAATATTTTGAGCATAGATAAGCTTACAAAGGAAACACTTCGTACGAACTACTATATCTTCGTATTACAAACTAAATTTTGTTTCTACCTTTCAAAATACCAACTTAGTTCGGTTTTATCATGGGTGTACCCCCAGCGCAAGCCACTGTTGGAGGAAAAAACGCCTTAACTGAGCTGGCGAAACAAGGGCGTCAACCAGACGACTCGATGTCCTGGACAGAATTTCCTCTTTCCCCCTCCTCTCCCCCCCCCCCCCCCCCCCTTTCGGTTTCCCTCGGCTCGAGTCGTCTGCGAGATTGAAGCTGGAGTGGAAACTCTCGAAGCGGCCCGGGGCGGCGGTCCGGCCATTTGAAAGACCAGCAAATGACCTCCAACTTACTTTGGCTAATCATTCAAGCAAAACTTGGGCGGGAGAACAAACAGATGAACACGCCTCAGCCCGCGGGCCCGGCCATCGCTCCGCGTCCGAGCTCGTAAAAATCACCGCCGCCGGCGGCCCGACACCTCTCGACACTAATTTAATCCTCGCCGGACAATCATTTGTCTCCTTCACCGGCGCGTCGCTCTTAGCGCCGAATTAAGTCGATTTCGCGGCAGAAACACTCGTAAAGTAATGGAAAATGCTTTAACAGGGTATCAACGATTTACGCCCTGGAACGGCGTGAACCAATTAAGGGACGTGCACTGAAAACTGACCTGTGCACAGAGGACACACATAGAGCTCTTAAGTGTGTACTGAATACACACTTCATTTTACAGTATAGGACTTCTAGGCAACATCTTCATGCTCTTTCGAAGGCTACCCTATGATGTCCTCAATGGCGTCTTTGGTCTTTCAAAAAGACTGATATTTGCCCTAGGCACCTTCAGGGCGCCTCCAACTGGTAAAATCGTCTCTTACTCTGCCCGTTTTATCGTTGTTGCAAAGCGACGTCGTCCCGGCCAGGGTGTTACAGGGCTGAAGCCCCTGCGAGATTGCATCAGGGCCCAGCCCAGGGGGCCCAGGGCTCGGCGGCACTGTCCGGTGGTCGGGCCTCGGTCGGGCCGGCGAGTAGCCTGAGCCCGCGTCTTTGGAATGGCGCAGCACGGCTTCCGAGGGGGTCTCGCGGTAACCGCATCAGGTATGCCGCCGGTCTCACCAGCCACACCGTCAAGCAAAAGAGTCAAACGGGAAAATGCGCGAGGTCACGGCAGCAAGTCTCATTCGCAGCTTCCGAACTTGTGTCTCTGTGGGATCTGAGGTCAGGAATCCATTAGATCCAAGCCAAAATCGTGGTTTCGCGAGGTAGCCTACAGTTGAAGCACAGGCGACTTCCAGAGGGTATCTCTGGGAAATCCAGGGACCGTTTCTGCCGAGTGCAGTAGAGGCCAGCAGCCGCTTCCACTGGTGTCGGGTCAGTCGTCCAGGCCGCAGGGCCGCAGGGCTCCAGGCGGGTACAGAGTGCCGCCAGTGAATCGAGGGCTGAGCTTGTTAGGGGTCTAGCCGGCGTGCAGAGGTTCGCTCTCACCGCCCGTCCAGCTGCGCGGCGCGGCACGGCGAGGAAACGCACGGAATTCAATCATTCCGACCCGGAGTGGCGGACCACTGCCGGAATATTTGTTTTATTTGGCGGAGTTTCACGGAATCGGCCGCGCTCGCCACGCACGCCGCCGCCCGGCTTTCAATAACGCAGAAACGCACACAGATAATTGACTTTTGCCCGCCGCCAATCCGATCGTGGAAAACACACATTGACACACACACACACACACACACACACACACACACTTGGCAGGAAACGCATTCTTCTTTCGTCAGAACCGAACGCAGCAGAGCATTATTCGTTCCATTGTTCCAAAACAATAATACCGTGAAACAAGCCAGCGCATGCCTTTTAGGTGCGGTGGTTTGATTTTAAAAAAAAATCTTTGAATGTTTCGTTTATAGCAGTATGGACTCACTGCTGCAGTGTCCCTAATGATGATGATACTAAACTATCAAACACATATCGACAAACAACGCCATGGAAACTCCCCATGACACGGCTGCCTGGCACAATGGACCAGAAGACTGGTGGAAGCGGCCAAAACTCCGAAAGCGTTTTGAGTTCCAGAGTCGCTAAATGGACTCGCACCGGACGTGTGACCCCACCAATGGATTCCTCGTTCGGAGAGCAATCCATTGATGGGGCCACACGCTCGGTTTGAGTCCATTTAGCGACTCTGGAGCGTGAAACCCGTCCGGGATTTTGACGGCCTTCACCGGTCTTCTGGCCTACTGTGCCTGGTGGCTCCGTAGTGCTATGCATGCAGTGCCACAGGTCATTTCCCGAGTCAAAGCCGCCATCCACTCCTTGCCACCGGCCGAACATTTACGTGGGTGTGCCGAGCACACAGGCAGAGCCGGCATGGAGTGCTAATATGTGCCCAGCAAACAGTGGAGTGGCGGGGCGAGGTGGGGCGAGTGTGACGAGATACTACGGACCGGTTGTTGACAGTCGCGAGCGTGACACACACCCACACACTACAGTAGTGCGTCGAGGACTGCGATTGGATGCAGCAGCTTCACTGTGGCAAAAAGCTACGGAATATTCTGTAAACAGCTTGTGGTAATTCTCCGTAGCCCCCTTATCAATATTCTCCATAGGCTCTTACAGTATTTTCTGTAGGACCGCACAGTATTCTCCGTAGGACCTTACAGTGATCTCCGTAGGACTATACAGTCTTCCAGGTCCTACGGAGAAGACTGTGCGGACTTACAGAGAATACTGTGCGGCCCTACGGAGAATACTGTAAGAGCCTACGGAGAATATTGATAAGAGGGCTACGGAGAATTCTGGCAAAAAAATTAACATAATTTTCCGTACCTTTTTGCCACAGTGTTCAACACGGTGGAGAAAAATCTCCTGCGAATAACGTCAATCAAAGAGTAAATTAGAAATTCTCTTGATAGTTGTGCCGCTTGTAGAATATACACATTGATATTTTCAGCGCATTGAAGAATAAAAAAATTATATATAGAATTCTTACTTTCGATTCTCAACACACAACGATGAGAGTCTTTCTTTCGTGACGCCGAAAGTGGAGCTCATTTTCTTCCTTTTGAGTTTTCAGTGTGCTGGGTAGAATTCTCTTGTTGTATCTTCTGTCTGTCTCTCTCTGACGCAGACACACAGACGCGCGTGCTCCGACCCATACGCACTGATTGATACACTTGTCCCACGTCGTCCCCCCGAGTCCGCCTGGAGTTGGGACACTCGAGCCGGCATGCAAATCACCTGCATCCGCACAAGCTGCGCCGCAGACCGATTCCGAGAGTCACTTTGTTGCTGTCTCTCTCACACCGGCCGGTCCGCAACCCAAATGCTGCACTCCAGACATTCAGTTTCCCGAGCACGACTGAAACATGCCACTTTCATTTTGCATGTACTAAACATGGAGCAAAATCGATAGAAGAGGCAGTGTTCCGCACGAGTAACGGACCCAGGACACCGCCCAGCTACGTAGGGCCGGCCGTGTGGCCGACGGCTGAAACCTAAGCCCCATGTAGCGAGACCCGACTTACAGTCACGTGTGTGTGTGTGTGTGTGTGTGTGTGTGTGTGGACGATCTTTCTCTATCCGCTACAGTTGAAAAGGCCCCGGGCGGAGCTGGCAGAATGGAGAGGACGGAGGAAGGGGAAGGTCAGTAGCGTGGTGGTGCCTGATCCGGTCTCACATCGCACAGTGCGACAGAGGACCGGCGGCGGCGGCCGAAGTCCCGGACGCGTTTTGAGCTCCAGGGTCGCTAAATGGGACTCGAACCGAACGTGCGACCCCACCAATGGATTGCTCTCCTAGCGAGGAATCCATTGATGGGGTCACACGCTCGATTCGAGTACCATTTAGCGACCCTGGAGCTCAAAACGCGTCGGGGATTTCGGCCGGTCTTCTGGCACATCCACTGTGCGACGCTGCCACGGCTGCCATCTTGAGCCATCGCCGGCATTGCCCGGCATCGGGAGCGCGCTAATCTCGCCGCCCGCCGCACTTGGCGAGGCCATTTAAGTTTGGCGACGCGCACCGCCGTCCCGCCGCGTTTCGGCCCGAAGCGTCGCCGCAGACTGAGAGTCGTTCCTTCGCTCCGCCTCTCTCACACACACGAGTGTCCCGTATAGGTGCGAGAGAGACAGAGCGATGGCTCTCGGAATCAGTCTGCCGGACGGGGCCAGTCCGGCCGAGTCCACAAAGTTTCGCGATGATGAATGAACGAGCGGGGATCCCGTCAACCCTTTGCTTTCACGGGAAGCGGCGCCACTTACTTGGAGCAGGCCGCCGCAGTGGCGCTGTCTCTCTCGCACTCATGGGTCGTGCCGTGTCGGAGCGAGAGAGACAGCCGACTCTGAGGCGCGGCGGGACGCGGCTCGGCTGGGTGCCAGGCCGCCTGGTCTAGTTAGACTGGCGGGGCCCCCTCCTCCTCGCGCGGCCGCGCGGCCACGTGGTAGGGCATTCGTTTGCTGTCACAGAGGCTCGCGTCGCACACCGCCCGGCATCGGCGACGCGTTCGGCTCGCTTCGGCTCGCGCTCGGCGTTCACCAGGTCAGTGATACGTCGGAGAAAACCGCAAGGCCGTACATCACGCCTCCGAATTCAGGAGCCGGTCTGGCCCACTGGCCTGGACGCCGCCGCAGCGAGCCGCAGGCTGGGGAAGGTCGGGCCGGGTCACGCAGGGAAGGAAGGTCAACAAGTGTTTGAGTCCCTGTTTTCCCATTTTTCGCGCTGGAGCGGTTTTCTTGCCAGAGCACTGTGAAAATCAAAATGTGTTGTCACCTGATGAAATTGATGCTATTTGCATCACTTGAAAATAATGACAGTTTTCATCACAATGTATTGACATATTCACCAATGCTCCTTTTTACCCATTGCCTGGGCGTGACAACAATGTCATCAGCAAGTTTGACGACCTTGTAAGCCTTGAAATTGTCACCTAGTGATGACAAAAACTTTTACAGTGCGTTCCGTCGAGCAGTCCGGTCTGATACGTGCGTCTGGCGGACGTCGATAGGCAGTTCAATGACCTTCATTGATAATGATGAAGAAGACGTACGTCCAACAAAAAAAGTTGAGTGACAGCTAGAATATTTCCCTCGTGTTCAGTGTCAAAAATAGTGAGGAACATTCACGGGCGGCTGTCGCGCACACAAAGTTTAAAATGACGACCTCGAGAAGTCACCGCGTCATTCGATGGGCACGACTTGCAGTGTGCTTGTTTTGCGCAGTACAGTATCTCCCTGCTCTTTTTTACGGTGCTGCAAAGGCCAAACCCTGAAAAACAAAAACGGCCACGCCGACGCGGCGCGCCGGCGAATCAGCACCGAGCCGCAGCAACGCGCAGCAACCACACACGGTGTTTCGGCGAACCGTGCAGCACACAGAGACCGACACAGAGAATGGAACTGTTGCAAATGAAGGATGACCGCCCAATTCCGGCCGATCCCGACGTTCCAGAGTCATCTTGTTGTTGTTGTTGTTCTCGGGGTCAGTGGCGGTGGCCGGGCCCGGCCGGGCAGGGCCCCTTGCCCCGTGACGTCAGACGACTGATGGGAAAGGAAGCCACAATTGACCCCTTCCCTCCCTCTCCCCCCCCCCCCACTTTCCGCGCGCTGTGGTGCTGCCCCCGCGGGCGTACACACACACACACACACGTACGTGACAGGGCCCTGCAAATGCTCACGATCCGCCGCGTGTACAGTGCAGTGTGCTGGTGTGCTCAGCTGTTTCCCGGACACCTTTTAGTCTCCGCCCACCACGCCGTCGTCGCAGTCGGCTTCCGTGACACAATAAACAAGTAGGATATATAAATAAATAAGTTCATAAATAAGAGAATAAATGAATAAAAGAAAGAAAAAAATGAAAGAATGAAAGAAAGAAAGAAGTAAAGAAAGAAAGAAAGAAGTAAAGAAAGATGACGTTTTCTGCACTTTTCCGACCGCGACGGCAGGCCGGCTCCTTATCTAGGATGTGCTTATCGGAGACGGGCACACAAAGAGCACCGCCGTCGCCGCCGAAAAAGAAAAAACTGCACGGCGCGACTCACTATAAAAAAAAACAGGCAAAACGCGAATTAAAGCGGTGCGCGAAGTGCGCCTAATTGGTCCATTTCCCCCACGGCGTTTCCGCTTCCCATCAGAGCGGCCCGTCCGTGCCGTCGTCGCCCTCTGGCCCGTGATTTGTGGTGTACACCTCGTCGCCGCCCGCGCCGCCTCGCCCGGCCCGCCTTGTTGGCCGCCGTCAAAATGTTGTCGAGCCATCAATTCTCCGCTCCCAAAGTTGAAAGTGGCAAAGTTGGCGTCGCTCGCTGCTCCGCTGCACTGGCCGCCGCAAAGTTGTGCCACGCCGCCGCCTCGCCGCCGCACTGTTCAATGTTTTAGCGGCGACCGCGCCTACCCGCTGCATTGTGAGCCGACAGCGCGGCGCAGCGCAGCGCGGTGACGACGGCCAAAGTTTCGGGGCTCGCGCTGCAGCGCGCTGTCGAAACGTGTCGAGAGTGGCTCAGCCCGAGCCTTGCACCCGTCCCGTACCTATTCACCCGCAGCCCGCCGCCGGCGCCTCGCTGCAGCACCCCGAGCGACCCGGAGGCAGACGTGCGGGTCCTACCTCCAGGCTCGGACTGGCCAGGGCAGACAGGCAGAAAAATCTGCCGGGGCCTTCGCGTTTGGGACCAGTAACGTCACAAAGTTGGTCAAAAAGTGACTGAACCTCCGAAAGTAGCCGTTTTCGCTGAATTGGAGCGGCCACTGCGTCCGATCTAGTTGCGGCCAACGGCCTACCTCGACGCCCTAGTATTCTTAAGACCCTACTCTCTCATGCCCTTATCGGGAAGACGTTGACCACAACGATTTTGCCTTTGACCGCAACGATTTTGGGACCAAAGTTGGTCAAAAAGTGGTCGAATCTCGGAAATTTGCTGATTGTTCTGACTTTGGCCGGCCACTGTGTCCAATCTAGTTGCATTAAAAGGCCTCCCTCGGCGTCCTTGTATTCTTAAGACCCTACTCTTTCATGCCCTGCATCGGGAAGACGTTGACCACAACGATTTTGCCTTTGACCGCAATGATTTTCCAACCAAGTTGGTCAAAAAGTAGTCGAATATCGGAAATTTGCTGATTTTGCTGACTTTGGGTGACCACTGTGTCCAATCTAGTTGCCGTAAAGGGCCTCCCTCGGCGCCCTAGAATTCTTAATACCCTTCTCTTTCATGTCCTGTACGGGAAGGCTATTGACCGCAACTAATTTGGGAGCGGTAGCCTCACAAAGTTGGTCATGAAGGGTAAAAACAATGATGATCGGGGGCCTTTTGCGGTCTTATCCGCCGGGGCCTTTTGGGGGCCAGTCCGAGCCTGCCTACCTCTCGCTCGCAGCCAGAGACCGGTGGAGCGGGCGAGACTCCACACGCGCTTTGAGCTTTGAGTCGTTGAACAGGACTAGAATCGAGCGTGTGACCCCACCAATGGAATCCTCGTTCGGAGCGCAATCCATTGGCGGGGTTACACGTTCGGTTCGAGTCCCATTTAGCGACCCTGGAGCTCAAAACGCGTCCAGAGTTTTGGCCGGCTCCACCGGTCTGCTGGCCCACTGTGCGGCGTCCTGTTTCGCGCCGCGGCTCGGGTTGCGCTCCGGTGGACAGGGCGGGCGACACCGCGGCTGCAAACTGATTCCGAGATCGTTTTCGCCACTCTGTCTCTATCGCACTCACGGCGTGTCCCCTATCGGTGCGAGAGAGGCAGAGCGACCGAGACGACTCTCAGTGTGCCGGCACGCTGGCACTGACAGCGCCGCTGACAGTGACGGGCGCAGCGCAGCCTTCAAATCTCGCGCGCTCCCTCGCCGCCGGCAGCGCGGGGCTTCGCCGCGCTTCGCGCCTTGCAGGCCGCGGGACTTGCAGTGTGGCAGCGGCGGCGGACGCGGAGGCAACGCGCGGACAGTGAGTGTGACACAGTGTGAAGGGATCAAGTGACAACCAAAATTTTCTCAGTGAGAGGCGGTGAGGGGTCGCAAGCATGGAGAGAGCCATGAATCGACTTTGCGAATCGGGTCGTTAGACGTGTGACCGGTGCTGGCTGGGCCCGCTGTGCGTTCCGCTCCCTGGGCCCGAGGTGAGACTTCATTAGTCAGGCTACAGAGGGCGTGGACGTCCGTCGGGGTGCCGTGCAGGGCTTGGTGGGGCCCACTGGTGGGCGCTGCGGTGCCTGCGGTGCGCCAAGGGCGGGCAAGGGTTCGCCGCCAGACTGATTCCGAGAGTCGTTTTCGTCGCTCTGGCTCTCTCGCAACTACAGCGGACGCCTCATGAGTACGAGAGAGACAGAGCGACGAGTGTAGGCGACGCGGCGTCGTGCCGCCGCGCCCTACAATGGCGGCTCGGAGAATGGGAGGCCCTGGAGGGCTTTGTCATGCCCGGCCCTTCCGCCCTCCGGCCCTCCGAGGATTACCTGGCCTCTTCTTTCACCTAGATCAGTGATTTAGAATCGAATCACGGAGAGAGAGGGAGAGAGGAATAAAGGGTCTTCAGGGCAGTGGGACGCTGGCGGCAAACAAAAAACGTACCGATGGGATCAGGGCCCGGCCGGTATCAACAGACGGTGCGAAGGACCGCCTTTGTCCACAGCGCTAGTAGAGCCCGTCTCTCTTGCACTCACTTCCGGGCAGCGAGCGCGACGGAGAGAAAGCATTGTGTAGTGCTGCAGAATTTTCCTGACGGCGCGTTATTCGCCACTCAGATAAAGGGAACTTGCTATCTTTTTATCTCATTGCTCGGAAATCACTGCAAACAGCCGCACGGCGAGGCCACCGCTACCGGAGGGACTCCCCGAACTCCGCACAGCAGTGGATTTGCCGGAAGACCGGTGGAGGCGGCCAAAGTCCCGGACGCGTTTTGAGCTCCAGAGTCGCTAAATGGAACTCGAACCGAACGTGTGACGCCACCAATGGATTGCTCTCCGAACGAGGAATCGATTGGTGGGGTCACACGCTCGGTTCGAGCCCTGTTCAGCGACTCTGGAGCTCAAAACGCGTCTAGAGTTTTGGCCGCCGGCGCCGGTCTTCTGGCAAATCCACAGTGTGCCTCCTGGAAAAGCCGCGCGCCGAGTTCGTCCCATCAGGCCGTCGTTAGGCAGGCACAGCAGCGCGGCGAGCGCGGCACTCACAACAAACAGTGCGGCCCACTGTGGGACAAGTTTTTCGGTGACACACGCGCCGCGCGGGCCGCGCCGGGCGTGTGTCTGCATATTCGTTTTTCATTCGCCAGAGGGAGCGGCACACCGTGGAAATTTCGCGTGTCAGTTGATGACAATTTCAAGGCTAATGTTCACTACAACAATGTCAACAAGCCAGTGGATGACAATGTTTTCACGCCCCTGCATGCAGTACGGGTGGAAGCTTGGATGATATTCTCATCAATTTTTGATGAAATTGTCATCAATTTTTTAATGACATTGTCATCAATTTGTAATGAAATTATCCTTAATTTCAAGTGGTAATTATTTTTTTCCTATTTCGCCTTTTTGAGACGACAAATTTTTGCGGCGAGCGCGCGGCCTGGGTGGAGGGAGCGGGCATAACAGGAAATTTTTATTAATATATCGGCGCGGCGGTGTGGAAAAGGGAAATGAAACCGAAAAACGCCGGCGGCGTGGTGGATATTAACCCGGACACGGCGCCACGCGGCGCCACGCCGCCGCTGTTGCTGCGTTTATTGCTCTCTTGGCGGCGCTGAGCCAAGCCTCGCCGAGCCACAGCCAACAGGTCTGTGGCGGTCAAGGCCGGGCAAGTCGTGTGCACTTGCACTGCACTGCACTTGCAGTGTCTGGCCGGAAGCGGGCATGCAGCACTAGGCACTGGTCCTCCTTGTCGGTGCAGCATCCGCCAATGGGTGTCCGAACTGTAAAAAATTTCTTGTCAATTTATGATAAAATAGTAATGACGCATTTTGAGCACTTTGAAAGTAATGACAAGTTTCATGACATATTGATGACGTCTTCTTCAATGGTTCACGGCATGGTTTGGTAACAAAATGGGCCTTGAAATTGGCATCAAGGTACAACCAAAATTTTGACTGCGAGGGCACACTGCAGTGTGGCTGTTGAGCGGCCGGTCGTTCTCGGGGCCGATTGCGGCTGACGCTCGCGCGCCCACACTGGGAAAACCCCGGTCTATCAGTTAGGGGCCGCGGAATCGGCCGAGTGTACAGTCACGTCAAAAAACGAACCTTCAGTGGAAGGGCGCTGACCTGACCGTGCGCTTGGAAAGCCGTGGCAGCAGCGCACAGTGGGCCAGAAGACCGGCGCGGCGCCGGCGGTCATACTAACTCTAGACGCGTTTTGTGCTCCAGAGTCACTAAACAGCACTCGAACTGAACCTGTGACCCCTCTAATGGATTTCTCGTTCGGAGAGCAATCCATTGGTGGGGTCACACGTTCAGTTCAGGTCTCATTGAGTGACTATCGTTTTGGCCGCGTCCACCAGCCTTCTAGCTCACTGTGAAGCCGGTTGATTCCAAACACGCCACTCTGTCTCTCTCGCACCCTTACCGGACGCCCCATGACCGCGAGGGAGACAGAGCGACGAAAGCAGAGAGTGCAGGGCTTGGGGCAGGTAAGTGCTGGCCGAGCGCTGAGGGAAAGCCGGACTCGGCCAGGCCGGCCTGCGCGGTCCAATTTGCATTTTAAATGCCGCGGCGAGGAAGGCGAGCGCCTTTGAGGGATATTTGGACAGACGATACTGACGCGGCCGCGCGGCCCACGGCCATGGCGCGCCGTGCAGCGATTACCACCTCTTTCAGCCGCTTCAGCCGTTGGCTTCGGCTGCCTCGCGCTGCCTCCGCTGCCGCGGCTAATTTGGCTCAAGTGACGCGCTCTCCGCGGCGCTTCGACACTTCGGCTTTTCCCGGCTCGGCGGAAAGGCGCGCTGGCTCATTAAAAGCAACATGCTCGGCTTCCTCAAGGCTGCCCGGCCCGGGCGGACTGCTGGGCAGACTGATTGGCTTCCCTTTCAGGGATTTAGCTTTCCTGTAGGCCACCAATTAAATTGTGCCCGCTCCCAAGGGCCCAAGGGCGGCTCAGGGATCGGCGATGAGGCGCCACGCTCGTCCTCAGCAATGTGCAGGGTCCTTCTGCTTGACGAAAAATAAAAATAAGCAGCAAGCAAACGCAATGAAAAAGTCACTTGTAGACATGACTGTCGGAAATTGTTTTGCGCGCTGAAATGCTGCTAACGGTTCTTCGTGGGCACGCGCTGTGCATTTGAGAGTGCCTAAGTCGCCCTGCGGCCAGAGAGCGCCCCGCCACGCCCCGCAGTCCGTCCTGCACCGGTTGTAAAGGCTTTGGGGCGCCGCAGTGTTGAGGAGGGTCTAAGCGCCTTGCGGGCCGAGGGACGCGGTCGGACACGGTCGGACACGGCCCACGTGCCTCCCCCGCAAGTCGCAAATCCATGAGGGCGTCCACCTCCTTTAATATTTCTTTCGCGAGCAAATATTTTAGTGCCAAGAAGAAAAACAACAATCCAGGAAAACGTGGCGCTAATTGCTCCCGAAAAAATGTTAATAAGTAATGCGTGTTTCCGGGACGCTTAGCAGCACCCGCTCCCCCGGGGACTGTGAGGGGGTTGACCGTTCCGAAAATGGGACGGTGGCTGGCTGTGCGGCGGGGCAGGCACTTACCTCTCCCACGAAACCGCACGCTGTAGTGGCCCCACCAGGTCAATGTGGGTTAGAAGACCAGTGGAGGCAGTCGAAATCCCTGACGTGTTTTGAGCTCCAGAGTCGCTAAATGAGACGCGAATCGAGCACGTGACCCCACCAACGGATTCCTCTTTCAGAGAGCAAACCATCGGTGGGGTCACAAGTTTGGTTCGACCGCCTCCACCGGTCTTCTGACCCACTAAGCAGGCCAAAGCCCTGGTCACTGTAAACCCTAACCTTTTCAAGTCCCGCAGCACACGGCAGCACCATGGGGGCGGACGACACCAGGGAGCTCGGCAGCGCCGGCAAGAAGGTGGCCGCGCAGTGCGGCTCCGACATGATGCCCCCCGCGGGGGTGGCGGTCGGCCAGGGCGCCTGGGCCCTCTCCAAGAACTTCCTCAAGTACCGCGACGACATCCGCAACATGGAGGTGCGGCCCGACGACGTCTGGGTGCTGTCCTTCCCCAAATGCGGTGCGTAGCAAGTTTTTCATTCTTTGTAATTCAACCGAATTTGACGTCGGTTCAATGTTTGTCAGTTTCGTCTGAATATGATGTCACACTCGTTCGGAAATGGATCAACAGTCAAACGAATGTGACATAATGAACACTGGTTCGGCGTAACATAGCGCCTTTTGTAAAGCGTAAAGTCCGCATGCCCTTCTGGAAGGGTGCAAGAACTCCTTTCATCCTATCTTAATGCAAAGAGGGCGGGGGCAACTGCTTTGAAGCGCACTTGTATGTTTCAAGAGGGGCGTAAGGTCATCAAGCGTAGTGGCATGTTGAATCGAACTACACTTTACTTTATCATCCGTGGAATGACACCACATTAACAGTGTTCTAGTTGCTTATGCAGGGTGGTCCGAGGGTGTTTCCTGTTACGTGGACCATTTTTTTTCCCGCAGGCACGACGTGGACGCAGGAGATGGTGTGGCTGCTCGGGAATGAATGTGACACGGCCGCCGCCAGGGACACGCCGCTGTACTTCCGCTTCCCCTTTCTCGAGTGAGTCAACAATGTTTGCCGTCGGAATTTAGAAGCAGAGGCCGAGGGGTAAATATAGACAGCACTCCCCGCTTCTGAGAACTCGGATTCAAAGTGGCCGGCCTCGCCCGAGCCGAGCCCCAGTATTCCGTCTCAGCTGGGCTGATTAAATTCCTGAGCCGGCGGCACCCCGTGCGGGCCGTGTGCTCCACGTGAGCGACCGCGGGGACGTCAAACAGACTCATGACAAACAAAAAGAAGGAACGGGCCGGGCACACGACGTGAAGGGGTGAGCAGCCAAGCAATCAGAACCCCTCCCCTTTCCTTCCCCTCCCCCACCTGTCAGAAACGTCGCTAAACGCAAACGCCGCTAAAAGCAAAATAAATGAAGAAACGGCCCATTGGCCTGGAGCCCGGCGCGGCTCGCCCGGCGGTCCGTCCGCCTGACCACCCCACCGGGCAGGCGGGCACTCAATCACCTATCCCTGGAATGAGGCTGGTCCGGCCTCCGCGCCGCGCAGGCTCTGCCGCGCTCTGCAGCCACACTGCTGATCCCTTTAATCCTGCGCCAGGTTCACGGCCCTCGGCATGCCGGAGGGAGAGCCCGACGTCAACACCGTGGAGATCATCGAGGGCTTGCCCAGGGACCAGCCGCGCTTCATCAAGAGCCACTTGCCGCTGGAGCTACTGCCCAAGGACCTGTTCAAGGTCAACCCCAAGGTGAGGCGGCCAGAAAGAAGCCAACAGTAATAACGCCCGCACACAACGCGGAGAAGGACCTTGGCAACAGTTAATGGGGGAGCATGTCGAGGAAAGTCGACCGATACCATGCTTTGGCCGACGAAACATGCTCATGCTGTAGGCAGTTGCCTCACGCTTCATTTTTCGCAAGGACCTTGTGACCTCGGACTGTCCATGGAGGCAGAATCAACCTAAAACATTATATCGTCTCGAAAAAAAAAAAACAGCTGTAGAGTTACCAATTCTGATTTTCTTTTGCAAAATGTTTTTGACAGAACAAGTTTTTCCATTGTTTTCTATGTCCGCAGCTCATTTACGTGACGAGAGACCCGCGCGACGCCTTCGTCTCCTACTACCACCACTACCGCATGATCAACTCGTACGACGGCGACATGGACGACTTCTTCGAGGCGCTGCTGGCCGACGAGGTGCTCTTTGCCCCGTTCTGGAAGCACGTCCTCGAGTTCTGGGAGCTTCGCGACAGAGACAACTTCCTCTTCATCACCTTCGAGGAGATGAAGAAGGCAAGAGCTTTTCCCTTACGGTCGGATTGGTGGACCGACCAGTTCTGTCATGTGCAGTGCATGCATGGCAGTTATCAGGCCGAACCGGCAAACAGACAGTTGTGGTCTTGTCTCTCAAGTCAAGCCTTGAGCGCCTGTCGGATAGACTCGTCCGCCAAACACCACTGCACGCTGGTTTGCCTACTCTCACGTCGGCGGGCGCTCTCCCTTCTTGACAATTCCCACTGGTAAAACTTGGGCGTGACGTAGTGCTTTTTGTGGAGTGTACTTCCCGGGCGCTCCTTTGATCCTGTGTGAATTCATTGGGGGAACTGCTTTGAAGCGTAGTTGTACGCTTTAAAACTGGTGCAGGTCTTCAAGCTGTATGCCTAAATCTAAATTGCGGTTTAGTTTACCAGCAATCTTTTTTTTTCAGGACCTGCGATCCGTGCTACGGCGCACGGCCAGCTTCCTCGGCGTGGAGATCCCGGCGGACAAGGAGGACGCCGTCCTGGAGCACCTGAGCTTCGCGTCCATGAAGAACAACCCGTCCGTGAACCTGCAGGACTTCATCAAGCCCAAGACCAAGGAAGACTCCTTCATCCGGCAGGGCGAGGCGGGCGGCTGGAAGAAGCGGCTGAGCGAGGAGCAGGTGGCGCGGATGGGCCGCTGGTGCGCCGACAGTCTTCAGGGCAAGGAGTACCCGCACTTCGTCCAGTGAACTGCCCACTGCGCCAAACTGCCAAGCACAGCAAGAGAGAGTGTGTGACAGCAGTCACCCATCTTTGCCAATGAAGTACAATCATGAAGGGAAAGTGAAAGATCGGGAATTGCACCTACCACTGGTACTCCCCAGACGAGGACCGCGTCGTAACCAAAGCGAAAATGTGTTATTCTTTAGCCCTGCTGTGATCTATAGCCATAGGGACCATGCAAGAAATCGGTTGTTTGTGCAAAGACGAAACTGCACAAGGGTTTTGGTTGCGGAACGTAAAGCTCCGAAACTTTGTGCATGTCCGTGCTCAAACCTGCAACTTATATTTTTGTACATTTCTACTTGATGTCAAAGTGTCTAAATACATCCTCCGCGCGCGACTCGCGTGCGGTGAAACCCATTGTGTTTGCTCGTGCCTCCGGCGTGCCTCGGGTCGGAACATTGCCATCGACTCGCACCACAATGACGCCCCCGACAGTAAAAGTTCCACGCCCTCTGGCTCTGGCCCACGCCCTGCTTGGCTCGCCCTTTGCCCCAACTTGGGCCTTGCGTTTCGCTCTTTCCTCCGAGTCGCCCGAGCGTCCTTTACACCGGTTTTTCTCTCTCTTGCACTCATGGGGCGTCTGCTACAGGTGTGAGAGAGACAGAGCATTGAGAACAACTCTCGGAATCAGTCTGCTGTTCAATGGGAGCCGCCCGGGCCGGCTTGCTCTAAGTAATCCGATTCTGGGCGCCCCGACACGCCGGCCCGCCGCGCGGCCACGCCAGTCACTGTTACTCTGCTTAGAGCGCGCCGCCATCGCATACGATCACGACTTCTATTCCGATGAACTGGAGTCGCAGCGGCTGCATGTGTGCGGAGTTTCCCACGAACTGCACTCAGTGCGCAGTCAATAAAACATGAAAGGCCAGTGCGTCGCATGTTCCCCGAACAGCACTCAGGGGGCACCCAATCACTGATGCCTGCTGCTCGTCTCTTTATGCCGACTGTGCGCGCACTGGGTTCAGTGGTGCAAGTGAAGTGATTCAGTGCAGCACTAGTGCCAGACTACCGGCTTCCACCTGGTGTGCCGAGCGCGAGTTTCGCGTCGTCGCTTCCTTTGAGGGCCCGTGCGCCCGCCGGCACGCACCGGGCGCTCTCTCTTATTAAAGAAAAATAAAGTAGAAACTAAGAGCATAGACGGCTCACGCTTTAATTTTCCGAGCGAGCAGCAGCGTCCCTGCAAGTCTGCATCGCCATCGCCACAACGAAAAATTATTTCGAATAATTGTGTTCGAGGCGAGCAGCTTGTCACTGAGACGAGCATCGACGGCGATCCAGGGTCGCAACGAATCGCAAATTAATTCTACTACCTTTTCGTCGGGCTTATATTTCCCTCTCTCCGCCGCGGCTCAGGAATGAAGAAAGTGTCCCAGATTCAAAATGAGAGAAAAAGAGGAAAAGAGACAACAGCCCCTACCAGGCGGGGAAGGCACGGTTTCGAGACGGTGCCGAGACGGACAGAGGAAAATAGTAATACTATGAGAGACGAGTGGTGAGGGTCTTTATTCGAATTTCAGAGGCCACAGCTAATAAACAGCCACATTGCCACAGCGACAAAAACGAGCGGGAGGGAGATAAGCGTTTGCGCGAGCGCCGCGGGCTGCCAGCAGGTCTGGCACCCTGCCGGACACACAAAAGTACCAAGGGCCGGCCGGGTCACTCTATTCACGCCTTGGGCATTCAGAGAGCTGGAAAATTTTAAAAGGGAGACGGGGATACAGGGTGGAAGTCACTTGTATAACAGGGAATTCATACTAGACGGCATTAAAGCGGCACAGATTTTGACAATCACCCTTTTTTTCAGCTTGTAGCTATAGGATTTTGGAAGGCGTTGCGTTAAATGATGCAGCCGTTGGCTTGGATGCCGTAGTAAGAAAGGTTCCGGGAGAATCAGGGACCTGGTGGGTTGACGTCAAAGGCTCCTTCGATGTGAAGCAGCACGGAAGAAGTCGCACCTTGCTATTGTAGGTAGGTTTCTTTTACGACATTTACCCCCTGAGCTTATCTCTGGATCCGCCCTGGTAAGGCCACGTGGCGCGCTGGGACACGTGTTGGCGTTGACCTCGAAGCGGCGAGGAGCGGCGTTGTGGGACGAGTAGATAACAGAAGCCGTGCCCGTGATGATTCGATTCATCCCTTGCTGCTTTCTCCCCCGGCAGGGGGAGGGGAGGGAAGAACCCAGTCGACATTGCTAGTACGAGGTCCCTGACTGTACCTCCCTCTGACCTCCATGCGAAGTCCGTTTTGTATGTCCATATCTGATGTCAGCTGGAGTAGTGGTGTACTACGGTCTGGTACGTGAAAAGTGCGGGAAACGCTACTCCGCCATCTTGGTCCTACTGGTCGCACTCACTAGTCCCTCCATAGTACAGAGGTAGTCCGAATCCGGACCATGCATATATCCGTGTATACTTGTCGCGTTTGTACAGGTTAAATGCAACCAGAAATGCGACAAATTACTGCCGCTGGGCGTGACGTTGGCGAATTCCATTGTAAAATATATATAAAATCGTCAGTGAATTTCATTTAATTTCCTGAGGAAATTTTCAATTTTTTGAAAAAATTTTTAGTTTAAAATGGAATGTCCTTGCGTGACACACCGGTACTAATTACACGCACAGTGATTTCTGGTTGCTTATTACCTGTAGGAAGGTGGCAGTAGGCGTGCATTGCAAGGTACGAATCGGGACTACCGTTGTACCACGACAGTACCAGGGACGACGGTCGGTCAGGACTAGATGGCGGATTGCACTCTCAGTATTGTCCTCTAGATGGCGCTAGTGTCGCTTTAGTCACATGTTACGATTAAAAGGTTCTTCTAGCCAAAAGGTAGGGTACTAAAAGTTCTGAATAGATGGAAACTGAAGTGCTAAGATGAGTGCGATGTACCGCTGTAAAAATTACGGCGGTATCTAAACTACTAGAGGAGCAATCGACAATTGAATAGTTCCTCTCGCTGCATGCTACGGGTCGCAGTTTCATTAGGTACAGCAGACTTGTCCCAACGAGTCGGAGTGACGTCTGCCATGGTCAGACGTATCCTCCAACCAATTTTTGAATCGAGGTATCTGCCTCTTCGGGTCCTTTGACACCCTTTACAAGTGAAGTTCTTCACCCTGGCGTTAAAATATTGTAGAATTCGCATGGGCCGACCGCTAGTCCAGTGGTGGTCCGGCCGAGGTACGGAATGGTAGTACGGGGTTGTACCAGGCCCGTACCACAGATGGATGATGTCGAGGACAGCCAGCAGACTACCCTTTTTGGGCAAACAGTACCTCACCAGTGCTACTAAAGGGGATGATACGATATCTGTGAGTGCACCTCCAATGGAGGTACCGCGTAGTACGAAATGTTGACTGGGAATGGAGTGAGGGTGGGGGCAACAGAGTGTATATATCTGCCAAACGCCGCCTTCGCCCCGTCTTTATCAGCAACATCATCGCCAGAGATGACTATCGCCGGCCCGACCTGTCGCCCCTCGTCACGCTCAACGGGCGTGCGTATTGCTATAGTGATTTTCCACCGCTCCGTGCCAAGTGATAGATTCTCTTGCCTCCAATGCCATCTATCAAAATAAAAGTTCAATATGAAAACAGTAAAATTGACCAAAATAGTTTAGATTATGTATGAACTGTGCACACTCAAATTTCAATGCATTACAACGTTAAATAAGAATGACGTAAATTAAAAGTCAGCATGGTTGGAAAGTATTAACTGTCAATGACAGTATCAACATTTCTGGAAAAGCAACGATACAGATTCAAAGCCCTTTGTGTTGTGAACGAAAAGTTTGCGTTCCCGGAGTGCAGGCCAATCCGGGCTTTTCCGACAGGCCGACTGACGGTCCGCCTATTCGCACGTTGTGACCGTGGCCCTGATGCATTCACTGGCGAGGGATGGGGGAGCCGAAGGGGATTTTAGTATCGACCTGAATGGGGCGGGGCCGGGCGGGGAGTGGACCAACCCACCGGTCCAGTTCCTTTGACGGTGCTTCCTTTTCAGGTGGACGCCGAGCCCCAGCCGGCCGTACCTTTTTGATCCCGCCCATTCATTATGCGACCAACGGCCGGATTTCATTTTCATTTATATACTCCAAATTTAGTTCAAAGTGTCGCCCGTCTCAGCAAGGGGTGGGGCTGTGCCTCGACCGTCACGGCCATGACGGCACGTCAAGGTCGCTAATTAAAATATTCAAAGACGTTTTGGCCCGTCGAGGGGGCAGCCCTTTGGGCACCAACGTATTGTATGGTTCACGTCCCGCAAGTGGAGCACCTCACAGGAGAAAACAATCAACACACTAAGGAGACAGAAAAGGACTATATGTAGTTTCACTGTTGAGTGCAGACGTGTGGGAGGACGAAGGAAGAAATCAATGAAGGCAGAGGGGAGAGCTGAGATGTCGAGGAAGGGAAGGTGTGAGGGGTGGGGGATGACACTTGTCCGGAGATAGAGAGCACGGCGGTCGACGAGTCCGGTCCGTCCAGCCCGTCGCTCGCTGCCGTAGTACATCAAGCCTGAGAGGACGGTAACTGCTCCCGATCCACTTTTTCCCGTCGAACGAAGCCCCCCTCCTCACCTGGCCGAGCCATTTCGGCCCGCCACCCACCTCACCCACCTCTCGTGCCTCTTGGCCCTCTTGGCCTCCCGTCCGCCGGGGCGTCCCCTTTCACATTGATGTGGTCCGTCTCGGGGACCGAATCGGGCGGCCAGAAAGTAAACGGCGTCTTCCGGCCAAACGGCCTTTCCTGTGAGAAACGCCGCCCCACCCCGCAGCAAAACAAAGAAACACGAAAATAGTCACGCACGCACTTTCATGGCGTCCTTTGGTACTGAGATCTGCATGTCATGTTTAAGTTTCTTTGAACTGTTTCCAGCGCGGACATCGTAGTTAATTGACCGCAAGTTGGCTGACTCTCGCTTTGAGCTCCGTTACAAAGCGTTTGAGCAACAGCAGCAGTCGCCTGCAGCGGTGCCGCTGTTCCGCTTGGAGTTCCTTTGCCCGCCTGGCGCGCCACAGCAGGCCATGTAACAGGTGGCCCGCGGGGCAACGGCTCAGCTCACCCGCACGCGGCGAGCGTCACCGTAACGAATCGCGTGAGAAGGATTATAACACAGTGGTTGCGCTAAGTTACCTCAACCACACACTATTGTTCTTATGGGTCAAATGCTCGAAAATATTGTAAAACTGACCTTTATACGGGTAGTGCCGCTATCATCGCAACTTACCTCTAAAACCACCACCATAAAATGTTAGTGCAGCTTCACATCGTAAGAAATTTTAGGGTGCATCTTTTCCTGATACCTTGACGAGGTCGCACAAATTGAACCTTTTTGGCAGTCCAATGCTACTGCAATGAAAATGTAACTTAAATATTTTTTGGCAATTCCGGACAGAAAGTTGCAATAAAAAGACCGTGACGTCACTCCGCATTCCATACGAGAAGCTATTTACAGTAAAAGCTCCCCCACCAGCCGGCCGTACGTATTGCCATTACTGTCGGGGTCGTTGCATTTCCCATAAATATGGTGCCCGCGCTGAGCGCCCGATGGGGCCTCGGGGGTGCTCTGGGGCGAAGGGATCGCAGCCCCGGTGGTCAGGCCTTGGACCGAGGGCAAGGATGGCTTGTAGCGGCTATCAGGGAGACTTGTGGGATTATGCGGGGAAGCGACCAAAGCTCGGGCAAAAAATTATCCTTTTGAATGGCCTTTTTACTAATGCAGCCAGATTAGAAAGTTTACTTTCGTTGAAGAGTGTACGCGATGACATCCCTTTAGATGGTAAAATTCAATTTGCCCAGTTGAAGAACTCGCAGTTTGCCTTTAAGCTGCTGAGAAAATGTGAGAAAAGCTCCGCTTTGCTGTCGTAGACAAGCAGTTGGTGCAATACGATGTTTTAAGCCTCGATAACTGATTTGATCTTACTGCACTGATCGGCAATTTTTAAGATAATCGTCACTCGGTTGAAAATTACTCGCACTGAAGAAAAAATTTACTGCCACAAGTTGTTTTGTACAGCACGAGTGCCATAGTAAAGCAGCTGCTTGGGGAACCTGTATCTAAAAACCCGTCTTGCCACCAGGCAAGGCGTACCCACTAGGGATACATAGACTGGCCAGCGAGACGCATGGACAGGTGGGCTCTTAGGGTCACCTGACAGACAGCCCGCCGCCCCCACCAGGCGACCCCGCAGAGGCCAGCCGTCCCGACCGTCCCGGCCGTCCCCACCATGGCGGGCCCGTGGGCCTCCCCTGCGCCTGCGCCGAGCCTGTGCGGCGCGCCCCACCCAGCGGGTCCAGCACCTGGAACGGCTGGAGCGGGCGGATCCTCGACGCAGGAGTGGCGAGCAGCGCGACGCGGCGGCACCCAGCGTAGCGCCCCGCTCGGCACCACGGCTCGGCCCCACGGCTCGGCCCCACGGCCAGGCCCTAGCGGAGGGCGATCCCACGACCCGCCGCGCCGCGTGACTCACCTGTAGCACCTCGCGACGCCGCACCACCGCGAACGTAGCGCCGCGCCGAAAAAACGGGAAGACCAGTGGAGTGCAGAGTGACAGTGCAAGAAGACGAGATTCGGCAGGGGGTACCGCAGCAACGGTAAGTACCGCGACGCGAACGGTCTTCGAGCTGTGTGCTACATCTTCTGTCGCGTGACTCGCCTGACTCCTGGCTGCCACCGAGGTCACTCGGCTGGATCAACAGGTCTTACAGTCCCCAAGTGGCAATAGGAAGCAGGGCCTGCCCCAAAAAAGAGAGATGTTTTGCCTTCTAGCATCAAAGAAGTCTGACGCGTTCTCAAATACTAACGTCGTGCAAGGAATGTCCTGCGTGAGCAAGATTCAAAATGCTAAGCAAGAAAGGTCGTATAGGGCTTTTAAAAGTGGTCAGCTTTGTCTTTTCTTGTCATTTTTAACGGACGGCAACACAGCCTGCTCGTGCCATATGCCACGTGACCCTTACTACATGACACATGGGAAAGGCAAGCGCCGATTCTTTAGTGAGTGCAATTTCACTGGTTCAAAAACTACTAACGTCTCTAACGCGAAATGTCGAAAAAAGATAAGATTTTTTCACAAGACCCGAACATTCTTGGGCTTGCTGATGACAATTCACATAATTTAGATCCGACAGTCAATTTTAAATTGTAGAAAACCGCACATTGTTGCCAATTTAGTTATTTTGCAACAGATTTAGCATGATTCCTTAAAACCCGCATCAAAGAATGGGTCGGCCTAAAAAATGAGATCAAAAAACGTCTAACCAATCCCTTCTATACGTTCCGAGTCCTTTTAGTTTTTTTGTGTCGTCCTAAATACCCACCCATCGATCGCGCTGGGCATGTCAAGGCAAACCCCGCGCTCTGAAAATAGTCGGGCGAACTGTCACGAGCAGGGGTTTGATTTGGCTGGGGTCTGGACCATAGTTTTCACTTCGACATGATCGAATATTTTTATTCAATATTCTATTCAATATTTTTATTGAATTTTTATGAATATTTTTATTGAATATTTTTTTTATTGAATATTTTATTCAATATTTTTATTCAATATTTTTATTCAATATTTTTATGTTTTAAGTTAGGCCCTTTTTTCAAAAAAGCATGTTTATTAGAAATATTAATATTTTAATGGTAGACGCTTTTTTGGTAGACACAATGAGCCGCCCCCGATGACAATTCACATAATTTAGATCCGACAGTCAATTTTAAATTGTAGAAAACAGCACATTGTTGCCAATTTAGTTATTTTGCAACAGATTTAAGCATGATTCCTTGAACCCGCATCCAGAATGGGTCGGCCTAGAAACCGAGTTCCAAAAACGTCTAACCAATCCCTTCTCATACGTTCCGAGTCCCTTTTAGTTTTTTTTGTGTCGTTCTAAATACCCACCCATCGATCGCGCTGGGCATGTCAAGGCAAACCCCGCGCTCTGAAAATAGCCGCGGCCACTGTGACAGCAGGGGTAGATTCCTCGCCGCTGGGGCTCTCGGACAAACACGTCACACAGCAGTTTAAACAGAAAAAGGAACAAAGCAAAGGTTTTCAAAGCGAATTCTTTGCGCTTTGTCTTTACCGCGCTTGCCTTTCCCAGAAACTCAAATACCGCACCACTCCTGTTTTGCGTGGGGACAAAGCGCAACAAACGGCAGAACGAAACACAAACACGATGAGGCCGTTTTTTAGGTCCACGTGCAGAACGCCATGAACGCATTACGAGGGTCACAATGTGGCGTCTGCTTCAAGGACGTGGCAATGCTGGACGCAGCGTCACCAAACCCGGATCATTTTTCAAAAGTATAACTGACTCGTTTGGATGAAAAAACCCGCAACGTCAAGTCTAAATTACTGTCCAGGGATAAAAGGAGGAACCACTGCTGTTATTTCTAGAAGGCACCAATCTTAACGCAAGCTAGCAGATCTCACGCTCCACTTTCCACTGTGCATCTGAAGGAGATGCTAATACAATCAGAACGGTACTTGAGGGCAGCCAAGAGAAAAGTGCCCTCAAACAGAAAAAAGGCCACACTCTGGTACAACATCCAGACGGCGGCGCCCGGGCGCGCCCCGTCCCCCGAGAGTCTCGCTGGTCTGCTCCATTCCACCTCCTAAGGTGAATTGGAGGCAGAAGGGCGGAGCGGCAAAACTCAAGGTCGGGTCGAAAGGGTGGCGCCGTGGGCGCGCAGGGCGGGACGAGGTGACGACCCCATCATCAATCTAGGGCAGAGGCGTCAGGCCAGCCGAAGTCATTACTCTGCAATCTATACAGTCGCGCAAACGCCGCAAAGGGCTAGGTCGGAAGTCATCGTCGATGTATGGATGGACTTGTGCGCCCATGTGGCGTGATCGAAAGTTTAAACCACGAAACAGAGAACCGAGCGAGACTTTTTCTAACCCGTTATTCGAGACGCGCCGACTGAATCGGAATCCGCCACTGCACGGAGCGTGCCCACTCGACGGGCTGAAAAAGCGCAAAGTTGGGAGCGGGGCGCGTAGCGTCTCCTGTGTCCTCAGCGACCGCAGCCCGAAAGGACACGAAGAATGAGCGCGCTAACAACCCCAACAACTTTGGCTCGGCAGCCAGCGGGCATGCCCGGCCAGCGCGACCACACGCTGCGTGCCTTTTCCCTGCGACCCAAAGCCGCACGGCCCGACTGCCCGCCGCAGCGTCTAACGAAAAAGACTAGGACTACGGAAAGGCGGCAGCCTCCGCCGCGGCAGCTGGGCGGCCCAGAGGGGTCGGAAACAGGCGGAGCGAGACAGTCTGTTGTTCGGCGGCAGCGCAGCGGCCTGCGGGTCGAGTGTTCTCAGCTCAACTTTACTCTCGCGTCCGATTGCGAGTCCGCGGGTGCGTTCGAGTACCGCGCACTCCAATCGGAACAGGGCGGCGGCTCGGAGGCGGACCCGCCGGAGCAGCCGCCTGGGGTCCAGCGCCCGGGGGCCTGGGGCGTGGGCTGCAGCCGGGGCACGTAGCACAGCGTAGCTGCACAGCGCTGGCCGAAACTGTTCCTCCGAGACAACTTGAGCTGAGGCTAAGTGGCCGCAGGATGAGTGGGCGCATGTGTGTCCTTGGAGCGCCGGAGAGGGGCGCAGGGGAGGGGGAGGCCTCCATGATGCACAGTATCAGAGTCCATCCGACCGTGCCTCGCCGATCCTCAAATTAGATAGAGGGTGGTTCGCTGAAATACACTACTGAGATACAGACTCTGGGAAACTGGAGCAGAGGTTCGGAACTTGGTTAAAAGTCGTGTTCGCAATATGCCGCTCCAGGATGCTTGTTTACCTTTCCAGGCACGGTCCAGCAAGGAAGCCACTGATCATACCACGCGCCTCTTTGGAAGGTAAGCTAGATCCAGCCTGTCCAGGTTTCTTTACGTGCGGTGCAGATAGCCGGACGTGTTGCCTTAATTACGCTTCATATCTTTATTGTATCCTTCGTAACCTTTAATTTTGAATTTTATGCGCTCGTGCTGAGAAGGCCCTCTCGGCTCGGCTTCCGACTTCAGGAGCAGGCGGGAGATAGCAAAACTTTTCAAATATTCGCGCCGGAACGCGCGGAGAAAACGCGGGATCCGTTTGCACTCGGGGAGTGGGATCAAGGCGAAAAGCGAAAGGAGGGGGAGCGCGCCAAAGAAAACGAAGGTGACGTAGTGTGGTTCACGAAAGGCTCGAGGCCCGAGGGCGCGGGCTGGAGGACTCCGACCCTGTCCCGGCGGCAGCACAGCGTTGACCCACAAAAAGAAAAAGGTGCCCCGGATTCACCTGTTGCCCATGGCTTGCCGATGGCTTGCCCATGGCCAGCCTGCGGGGCCCGAGCTCGACGCCCCGCGGCCCCACGGCCTCCACAGCGCTTCAATCCGTCAAAATTGAAATATTGAAAGAGGGCACAGCGTTCCCGGCACGGCCTGCCGACAGTCGAGATCAAAAAGCGGCCCAAAGAAAGAGCCCCCCTCGGGCCGCAGTACAGTGAAGATGAGAAATCAGAGGGCACGGTCCAGTAGGCGTGTAGAGAGGCAACTTTGCCACCCTCTGCGGGGAGTGCAAACTTCACGTGTTTGAACCATAGTTTATTCTGTCTCTCGTTAACGAACTTGCTGCGTTATCAACATGATTTCAAAGGTCAACTTTTCTAACGATGGTCAATTACGAGAAACAAAGCTGACGTCTACATAAAATCGTCAAGCGCTTGCGCACCCTTACTCTGTCAAGTAAACAGGTTAATCAGTGTACTCTTTTTGGTGTGAACACGCAAGTTTGCTCCCAGATTCGTACACACACCTCCAGCTGCGTGCGTATATTGCCAGGCGTCACATTCGTTGGCTACCAGTGTACTCACTGAAAAGAGTGCTCTGAGTACACTGTATACAGAGTCCGCCGAGGTGTCGAGGCGGGAAGAACGACTGGACCCACACGGGGCAAACCGCATCAATCCCTCGGCCCGCCTTAGGAGGAAAAGAGCATGCCGGGCTGCGTCGGCGCGTCCCTCCGGGGGGAATAATTGGACTTGGTGGAGGCGGCCTGGTGCGGCCCACGCCACTGGCACACCCAACGACGCTATTTGCGGAAAGCCAGTGTGTCCCGCCGAGGCGTGCCGAGGCGTGCCGCCCACAGGAAGGGTGGCACGTGAACCGCGAGGCACGCCTGGGCCGATTTCCGACGTCCTCGGCAGAGTCACTCCGACTCAGGTTCGTCGCTGTCTCTCTTGCACTTCTCGTTCCTTCTGGGGTGCGAGAGAGACAGAACGACGCGACACTGAGCGGGATCGCACTCAGGACGACGCAGGGGGCATTACGACGAGAGTGCAGGCGTGCGGCATTAGCTGTGGCACTTTACCCCGAAAAAAGAAAGTTCGGGCGGCGCTGCGTGCGGCGCGAGCGGCGTGAAAGAGAGTGGCGCTTCAGCGGCCCCCTGCGGGGAGACGTCATCGCCCCCTCCGGACACTTGACGTGGACCTCTCCAAAGAAAGTCCTTCTCTTATCTAAACTGTTGCGCAGCTGGAGACGACAGGGCGTGGCGGGGCTTTTTGGGGCGTTCCGCGCAACTCTGGCCGGACCGGCGGGGGTGTGAGTGCGGCGCGGATGAGGGGTGTTTAGGCATAGC